TACACCTGTGTCTCTTTCCTGTATACCTGTGTCTCCTACCTGTACACTTCTTGGGGCTGCCGGGTCTCTTGCCGTGCATCCCCAGCTTGCAGACGAAGTTCTCCTCCCAGAACTCAGCGAACCAGACGTTCCTGCGGTTGTTGGAGAGCGAGCGGCTCTTGAAGTAGCGGTCGAACGCTGCGGACAGAAGACAATAAAACACGTGTATCACTACGACGATGATCTCCTTCAAAAAGAGGTCTCCTCAGCTCTCTCTTCCTTCCTCACCGTCCACCGACGCCCTCTTGGGGAGGATGGTGACGGCGCCCTCGGCCACCCGCTCCTGCTGGACCACCGGAGAGATCTTGGACCCCCAGCTGTCGGAGCCCACCCACAGGAAGTGACCCGTCAAGTTGTTGCGTTTCGCCGCGTCCAGGATTCGCCTGTCGAGGATCACGGGGGACACAGTCTCGTCACTTCCTTTTTCAATATAAACTCCAGTAAACATTTTCTATTCATCTTTATAACGCCACCAGTCTACAGTCACCTCAGAGGATGCAATGAAACACAGCAGCGTTTAGAGCTAAATGCTAACATGCTAATGATTAGCAGGTATAGAAGGAGGAGACAAAGGGAGAAGGAGAAAGGAAGGAGGAGATACACAAGGCAAGAAGGAGACAGAGAAGGGAAGGAGGAGACAAGGTAAAAAAGATAGAGAAGGAAGGAGCAGATAAACAAGAGAGGAAGGAGGAGATGGACAATGGAAGAAAGAGATAGAGCAACTAAGAATGGGATAGTACAAGGAATGAGGAGACAAGGGAAGAAGGAGAAAGTAAGGAGGAGATCCACAAGGCATGAACGAGATAGAGATAGGAAGGGGGGACAAGGGAGGAAGGAAATAGAGAAAGGAAGGAGGGAGAAAGGAAGGAAGTAGACAAGGGAAGGATCAGGGGAGAAGAAAAAGAGGAGGCAGAGAAGGGAAGGCGAAGAAGGGAAAGAGGAGATAAAGGAAGGAAGGAGTAGGTAGGGAGGGGAAGAGGAGGGTAGAAAAAGGATGGAGGAGATCGAAAAAAGCAAGAAGGGGGGAGAAAAAGAAGGGGCAGAGAAGAGAGGAGGGAGATAAAGGAATGAAGGCGAAGGCAGGGAAGGCAAGAGGGAGGTACAAAAAGAAAGGAGGAGGTAGATAAGGAATGGAGGAGGTAGAGAAAGGACAGCGGAGATAGAGAGGGGAGGAGGAAATAAAGCAAGTAAGGAGGAGACAAGGTAAGAAAGAGATGGAGACAAGGGAAGATGGAGACAGAAAAAGGAAGGAGGAGATACACAAGGCAAGAAGGAGATAGATAAAGGAAGGAGGAGAGAGAGAAAATATGGAGGAGATTAAAAAAAAGTGGGGCGGCGGGGGGAGACAGAGAAAGTAAGGTGGCGAAGGGAAGGAGGAGATAAAGGAAGGAAGGAGAAGGTAGAGAGGGAAGAAGGAGAAAAAGGAAGGAAAGAGGCAGAAGAGAAGGGAATAAGGAGGCAGAGGAAGGTATAAACTAAACCACTGAAGACTAAATGAAGTACATCCGAGGCTGATGAATGCTGTTGCAGGTATGAAATTCACCGTGTACCTCGTTTTTTATTCACTGATGACATTAAATCATCAGACTGGTTCTTTATTTCTTCACTCATGCCGAGAGAGGACGAGGAGACGGATGTTTTCTCTCTCTGTGTGTGTTCAGAGCTTCAGATTAACATCAGCTGTTACTGTGATATCATGTGTGTGTGTGTGTGTGTGTGTGTGTGTGTGTGTGTGTGTGTGTGT